CAATGCCACTTTACAGATGGGGGAAATGGAGTTACTAAACAGGATCAAACTAGTCAATGGCAAAGAAGGGGATGGAACCTGAACTACTCCTGTCTCCCAGGCCTGGGCCACAGCCGCCACACCATTCTCCCCAAGAGCCTCCCCTTCTGGTTTTCTGTTGTTGATCCTAGCCTCATCTGGACAGACATATACAAATAAAGCAGTAAGAAATGAACATGCATATAGCAAACACAAAGTATTTAGTACAAGCAGATCAGATTGGATTGACATCATCCATTGCACCAACTCTTAACAGACAACTCTGGATGTGAGCAAGCAGTCCACTCACAGGTCAGGGAGGGTGCCATGGACAGATGTTCCTGCCTCCTACCCATGCCATCTGTGCCTCCTATTTTTGTCCTTCTGTCCTACTGCCTGTAGAATGCGCTGCCAGAGCATCATTTGCAATCTTAGATCTGAGTCTACACCAGACTTGTGACATGAGGCCTTGGGCCAGGATTCAGTGGCAGTGATATTCATTAAGAGCTGACAAAGCAGCACAGGGCATTTTGCATTGCCATGTATGCTGTTAAAGGGATAGAGAGAGACTAATCACCTAGGAAGCAAGGGACACTAACCAAAAAGAGTTAAAGTTCATCACAGGAGAAGTCTACAAGATAAGGTTTGGCTGATACAACTATATCAGTTGGGATGTGGAAAAAAGTCACAATACATACCAGCCAACTAGCACATCCCAGCAAAGCCCATGGTGTAGACTAGGGGTGGCCAACCTGTGGTATGCATATGACAAATAGCACAGGCAGCAGATTGGCCTGGACAGCCCAATTCACACATATGCCCCACCTGGCAGGCAGTCTTGCTTTAGATGTAAGCATGCTGTGTGACTGGTTAACACCTCCTTCAAGAAGCCCACATCCTCTCAGTGGTCCAACAGATTACTAAAATCCTGGGACAGGCAAACATACAAAGTCAATCTAATTAAAAGAACAGACCTGTTTTGTTGTTTGTTAAAACAAGTCAAGACTAGGGAATGTGTACCAGGTGGGCTGGGCAAGATGTAGTACCCACCCACTGGGGGCCATCACAGCTATCACCAAGCATCCAAGAGACATTAAAATTGTTGCACAAGAGGTCTTTGTTTATGCAGAACAGTAAGAGGATGAGAGGACAATAAGTATGATGCACATCAGGGAAAAGTAGCAATTAATCTGGGTCCTTTAAAAAATAGCCTGCAGCTCCTGGTAATCCCTTTTAGTGAAAACTTTGACACAGAAGAAGGAAAGTTAGCAGTCACTGTGTCACATGAGGGAAAGTCTGATATCTGGGTTCTGTTCCTGTGCCAGCTACAGACCTCTGGTGTGTGCGAGGTCTGGTCATACTTATTAGTGATAACTAAGGATCTGCTACCATCCACCGAAGGGTCTGGAGTTGGGCTAAAAGTTTACACACCTCTGAAAACGTGGGCCTACCTCCCTCTGTAAAATAGGAGTCCTAATATTTGACCAAGAGTCTGTGGGGCTTGAATCAGTCATTCAGAAAAAGCAGTGAGAACATCAGAAAAAAACTATGCAATAATTGTGTTGCAAACCATACATCACCTGCTGGTGGCTCCCAGCAGACACACTGCCTAATCCTTAACCTAGTCACCTCAGTGGGAGTGGCTCAACATTTTCAGATCATTTAAATGACAGCGTGCAGCATCTCAAAGGGCTTTGTGGGGTTCTTGGCAAAACCTGCCCTCTTATCCTAGTGAAAGACATCTGCAGGAAGGTTTCCCTCAGGTAATTTGAAACTCAGCAGCAGCACTCCCTCCCCCCCACAGGGAAGAAAGGCTTATATCACACAGCAAAAATGCTCCTCGGCCCTACCCACCTCTTACAGCAATCACTAAATGAGTCAGAGAGGCAGCTTCGTCTGTCATCAGACTGACCCCAGCCAAAGATACTCATCACAGTGCTTGTGCTCCCGACTCTTGGTGGTATGACTCGTGCTCTGGGTGAAACGTTTCTCACCAATACCTCTGGAGACCAGCAAAATACCAGCAAAGCTCCCATCCAAAGCTCTTTAAAGGCTATAGAAAGATTTCCTCAGTTTCAGTGGGCTTTTGGCCAGGACATACATACCTCTTCCAGGACCTGCTATGCCCCTCATGAAAGTAGAATTCAGTCCACATAGCCCATCTCTTGCCCCCTAAGCCTGCCAACCAGAGCCAGATATAGTTGCTGTGACACAGGCACCTGTCACTACCCTCATCTCCTGCAATCAAACAGGCATCAGAAGACAGCAGTGTTCAGTCACAGCCAACCGCAGTGTGAACCAGAAAGACTGTCTTGCACCACCCTGCCCCTGTCATCTCTAGTCTTCCATAAAGTAAAGCCACCTACAAGGTTAAGCCAAGTTAAGGCAGACTAGCAATAGGAAAAGTGCGGAGATAAACGTAAGCCACAATTCCTTAGGGCCTGGGATTGTGCTGACCCACACAACCTGCTTGTACATCCTGCTGGGATCTCGGGGACCAATTAGGATGAAGCTATAGCACCTGTAGAATCACTTTGAAGCCGGCCTGATGAATTAGACCGGAGCTTGGCCATAGCCCAGAGCAAACACTATGCTAATGACCAAAGGTAATGCAGCTGTACCAGGAGGAGCCAGGAGCATGTAAATTACTGAGAAGGAGGAAGTGGTCTGTGATGCTACCATGAATACGATGCTATGTGGCTTATACCCACAGCCAGAGGAATGTCATAGCTGGAGCTGACTTTCATTTTGAAAAATGTTTGATGCATGAGTCATTGTCTACAACACAGGGGACGTGAACTGTGAGAAATATTCAAATAAAATCTGTGCTTATGTGAGGAGGGGACTAGTACTGGTGAATGGAGCCTTTCAAGTTTTATGTGCAAACCTGAGGGTCATAAGTTCCAACCTAAGTCCAGGTAGCAAAGGCTGACTAGTGTTACTATCTGAAAGCTGTCGGGTAATCTATATGCTGGAGGTGTTGGCTCTTTTTCTAGTGGAAAGATGTCCTTGTTACAGAAGATACTGCCACAGCTTCAGTGGAGGACCAACCATTGGCAGGAGTTTGTAGACTGCAGCCAGGTTTCACAAAAAACTGTCTTGCTTATCATGTCTCCATGAGCAGTGGGGGATGCTGTCTGGATTCTTCTACATATAAGGCAGGGGTCAAAACCATAGGGCCTACAGACCTAGGTGGGCTTCGGTGGTATTCCAGCAACAGGGAGCTTCACCCATGGCTACACCGGGCTGGCCAGCAAGGAGCTGCACCCATGCCACAGCCAGGGGTGAGGAGAAGCATTGGCAGGCAAAAGTGGCAACTGGGTCAGAACACTGCCCTGCCTTGGATCCAAGCTCGGCTGTTCCAAGCCCACATCTCCAAAATGTTGCTGACTGATTGCATAGAGCAAAAAAACCCCCAAAAGCTAAACAAACAAACAACACCCCCCCCCCCACACACACACACACAAGTCTAGGCATTCCTCACAAATGTCACCACCTTCCATGCCAAGGGCATTTCTCTAACACATACAGAGCAATGTAATTGGGGCACCGGGGGAGGGAGAGGTGGGGAAGAAGGACGGAAAAGAGTAAAATAAACACTGCACTGAATGCACAGTTTTCCTGTGGGAAGAAGATAAGAGTATGAACCAGATGTGACAGATGTTAGTCACACCATTTAATGAGCAACTGAAAGGTGCTAACACAGTGTAGTAGTGAGGGTGGTAGAAGAATCTGAACAAAACTGGCATCTTCCCCTGGCCCTAAAATTGTCTGAAAGAGATCCTGTCATTATAAAAGCAGGAAACAAATAGCTTTGTCTACCATTGCATTGTCTACCATTGCTCTAGTCTGCATCATCTACCATTAATCCAGCTACTGCCATATCCAACACCTTTTCCTGGCAAGCAGTGTCCTGTATAATATACAGCCTTGTACTCAATATAGTATGAGAAAAACTTCAAGTCGTATGAAAAGCCAGTCTGAAAAAAACACCCAAACATTGGGAAAACTATCTTTTCATCTTAGGGATGAAAATCTCTTGAGATCATCCTTTTTTGTGTTTTGCAGCAAACTAGAAATACAGAGATGTGTGAAATGGGAGACTAACAAGAGAAGAAAGGCTATTCAAGCTAGTTGAAAGTCCTTATTAGAGCTGAGCCCATAACAAAAGCCTACATCCATAAGTGCCCCAAACTGGAAAAAAACACATGCAAACATCAAGTTTCTAGTTATTTTATTTAAACCTACACTTAGGATTCACTACTGCCATACCAGAGGCATGAGTTGCATTCCTGGTCCTAGCCCTGTGCACCCTTCACCAGAAAACACATAGGATTGTTGACCAAAAGTCCTCTTCAGAGGTATAACTGACCAGTAAAGCACCTTGTGTCATGGTAACACAAGGCAGAGAAGGAGCAACCAGAGGTTCACTGCTGTAGGAGAGGGGGAAGAGCAACATGGCCAGGGGGACAATGAATGGGAGGGTGAGCCACCTCCCAGCTCTGTTCCAGTGCTTGTGTCCTGCTCACCCATCCGTTGTCACGTTACTGGCTCTCTCAGCCCTTAGTAGGAGGGGAATCACTTTATATTATTCTACAGAACGTTCTGTGGATGAACAAGTGATAAGAATGACCTAGGGAATTTGCCATCCCACAAAACCCTGAGGGAACTCATCAGCTCAGTTAAAAGATATTCCAAGTTTCTGATTGGTTTATTTTCTCCCCCTCCACTCTTGGTCATGCCAGGTGGGGAGTCTTTGAGGCCCTTGACTGCTGCAGGCTGAAAAGTCTCTAACATAGTTCAGTCCAATGCTTTCTGAGTATCCCAAGTGACATCCATCTGTGAGGCCATGGAGATGTCTCTGCTATACACACCTTAGGCTGAGCAGACTGGACTGCAGCTGGAGTGGCCAAACATTGTGGAGGACATGCTGATTGGCCTAGGCCTGCCTTCTGATTTCCGGTTATTTTCTCTCACAGGTGCTGGTCCAAAGAGCTTCTGAATCCTGTCGACTAGATTTCAACCAGGGCTTGAACACATCCCCAGGGGACTCTGAGGGCAGGCAGAACAGGAGCCCAGCCAGCAAGCCACCATGGAGCAGATCCGCTCTTTCTTCCAGTCAATCTGGGATCTTATTCTCACCAAGCACCAGGAGGGCATATTCAACACAGTCTGCCTGGCAGTGCTGGCCGGGCTGCCCTTAATTGTCCTGTTGGTCTTCCTTTTCATCTGTTGTCACTGCTGCTTCTGTAGCCAGAGGGGCAAAAACAGCAGCAATGGAGGTTGCAGCAGCAGCAATGGGCAAGTCCAAGCAGAAAAGAACAAGAAGAGGAAGAAGAAGAAGGATGAAGATGACCTGTGGATCTCAGCTCAGCCCAAGCTGCTCCTGTTGGACAAGAGGCCATCACTGCCAGTCTAATTAATGGGAAAGAGAGAGGACACTCCTCCTCAAGATCCAGCGAGTCCTTCAGGCCATGCACTGTGAGGGGAAGGAGCTACTGCAATGGCTCTTTTACCCTTTAATAATGACTCTAGACTAAATAGGATTTCCAGGCCAAGCCAGACTCTGGCAAGATCACTAAGATGATAAACAGAAGACATAAAGTCGGGCATACGTTTATATGCCAGCAGTGTATACAATGACATACACACACACACATGCAGTGATATACATGCACTTCCATGTATAACCACTCACATACTCATGAGGTCATGGCTATGCAGCTTCACGTGCGTAAAGATGTACATATGCTCACACATAAACATGCCTGCTGTCACGTGCATGCAGATACCCATGCACAAGGTCATGTGCCTTCATGTGTATGACGCACATAAATGTAGTCATGTGTACTAACATGTATACAAGGTGGTATATAAATTCATGCATTCACACATGCACCTAAAATCTAGTACATCTTGAACTCCCCTCTACAAACTGAGGCATGTGTAAAGTACACAGGACAAGCCCACATGCTTGTATGGATAATACATAAGTATCAAATCAGACTAAACTGAAATACCACCCTGGCTTAGAGGTACAAGAGGAGATGAGCATACAATCATATCAGAATGAGAAGAATTCTTCCCCCAAATCCATGGCAAGTAACAGTTTTGCTGCTCCAAAAGATAAATTTTCTATCTATCACAGGACTTTCCTAGCAAATGCAGTAACATGATCCAATCTTATAGACCCCAAGACAGCAAAGCAGAAAATGACGTTGCCAAACAGGACAAAGGCAGGCAAGAACAGAACAGATGTGGCATCATACAGGACTGAAAACTCTACATGGACATTGAGAAGCCTGTTTAAAACTGGTCTTTTAAGAGCTCATCATGCTGGAGTTAAGGTGGCTTCATTTCCATGGTACAGTGAGAGAAGAGACTCCATATGGAAGCATGGCTACAGCATTAATTTATCTAATGACTACTAGAAACAGTTAACTCTTGGACCAAAGGCCCACACTTATCACTGAGATCTACAGAAAACTGGCTCCAGGCAATAACTCAGGGCATGTGCCACTCTCGCATACAGAGACATGCATGTGCATGTCCATGTGTGCACATGCGTGTGTGCGCGCACACACACACACACACACACACATACATACATACACACTGACCCCCTAGCACTCAGCTTCTGGTTTTGGGTGCATTTCATTCTGTCACTGTAAGGGCAGCTGAGTCTACAATAAACCGGGGATGAAGTTAAATGACATGTAATCCACGTATACTTCACTTCTTTGCCCACTAAAGCTTTGGTCCCACACTGCTCACCCCAATGAAAGACTGTCCTCACCAGAACTTCAAGATCTGATAGACTCCCCTTCCTCATGAGTTAAGGCAGCTCACTCCATCCTAGCTAACCTTGTCCCTGTTCCACATAAGCATACTCAGACTGCCAAGCCTATTTCCTAAGGAACCAGCCTGACCTCTCCCTAGTCCACTATTGCAAGATCTGTTGAAGCCTCACTGACATGTTGTGCAAATAGTCGGAGTGTCGGGAAGCCTCACTGTATCTGTTCTTTGCACTAAGGTAATGCAAGAGCCAAACAGTTTCACTCTAAAGGCTCCATTGGGAACTTTTTGTTCTCTTGTTTTTAATCTCCAAAGCGAACTGACCAGGCAGTTCACAGAGAAAGAAAAAATAATACACACCCACCCAGACAAGTGCTGGTAGAGACTGCCAAACTGCAAGCACCAGCATGGCAGGCTCAAAAAGGTACTAGCCTCATCTGCAACAAAACAGGTCTTCCATGCTCCCTCTAGGAAACCATTGCCAGTGGATGGGTGCATGGGAGAGAAGGAAGAGTCGGGGACCTGCTTATGGACCGAGTCTTTTGTTCTGTACCCTCACAGCATGGCCCATTTTGTCCAACTTTGAGATAATGGTGATGTAATATAATCCCATCACTGGGATTGGTGTTCACTTGTGTTGTTGGGATCTCAACCCCAGAGTTCTCACCACTTAGGCCCTTTCAAAGATCTCACTTGAGTTCGGGACAGACATTACATATAAACCAGTTTAAGTGATCAGAAACTAGTTTAAACCTGTAACAGAACAGATGTTCAGTGCACATAAACCAGTTTGAAATGGCTTAAACCAGTTTGAGATAAACCTTGTTGAATGTGGTATCAGACTTAACTGATTTGGCTCAACCCATTTTATGCAATGTCTGTCCCAGTCCCCTTGCTGATTTAAGATAAACCAGACTCCCACAGCATCCCAGCATGCTCCCTGGGATAGGTGAGGCTCTCTGCTACACAGCAGGGCTGGCCCCCTCCCCTCTGCTGCTTGGCTGGAGCTCCAGCAGAGACATGCAGGCACAGCAGGGTCTGCCTGGCTTCCCCCTCCCCTCCTCTCCCCTCCCCCTCACTGCTCAAGCAGGAAATCCCTCCCTCCCATCTCCCACAGCAGGGACCTCAGCCCCACGGACCCTAGGCACGTGGTATGCTAGCTAATGCTGACGTGTGTGTGTGTGTCTCCAATTTCACAGGGACTGGCAGACAGAACATTGACTGCTTAGAGCTGTTTGGAGCTAATCAACAAGTCAGCTGGTAAGCTGTTTAAGAAGAGTTTTAAGTAATGGAGAGAGGCTATTGTTTTGCTGATGGGGTGATAACACTTATCAGCCCCATGCAGACCATATAAAGAATCAGGGAGGGAGATTGAAAAGCTCTGTATCATCAATAGATGTATGCACTGCACTCTCCCCCCCTTGCTTCAGAGTGCTAGCAGGAGGCTGGGGTCTGGCAACACTCCCACCCCTCGAGCAGCAAGCATGGAAAAGCCTGGGATGGTGCAGGCAGACCTCCCTAATCAGAGGTCCTGCTGGGACACCGGCCACGCCCCCTTCAGCTCAGCATTATATAAGGGAAGGGAGGGCTGCTCTAGCACCCCCAGCTTCTAGCCTGAGCTACTGCAGGTATGTGTCAGCATTTCCTCAGTCCAGAGAGAATATCTGTCCAGTTACAAACTGGTTCAGCCTAGCCAGGTTAGACTAACCTGCAAAGATTGAATGAATTCAGGTTCAGGCTTTTTGAATGGCTATCCCTAGCCTTAGTGACATGTCACTTCCTTTTAAAAAAAATGGTGACCCTGCCTCACCCAAAATCAAGCCTAGGGTGAGCTTGACATTTGTGTTTAAAATGCCTTAAGGGAAGCTCAGTCCTAGAGAGAAACAGTCCATGAATAGTTCTAGTGCTCTGGTCCATGTCCCAGTTCCGGCCTGGAGCTAGGCCTATTTAGCAAAAGCATGGGATTTTGCAGTCTTCTTAATCCCCAGGGTAAAACAGGTTTTTCTTCTGAGTGTCCCACTTCCACAGGTAGAAAAACTGCCTACTTATTGGTTGCTACTGCTCAGACACAACAATACTGAAACTCTCTAGAATGTGCTATCATTCTCAGGAATAAGACAGGCAAAATTAAGGGAAAATGTAATCAGAGGTAAAAGTACTTACGAACTAGCAGAGAGGGAGATGTAGGCAGCAGCACCAGATTATAACAAAGCTACTTTAAGGCCACAGTGTTTTTCTCAGCCAAATTGAAAGGCTTCATCTCAGAAAGGCATTCTGGGAAATGTTTTCAGTAAGGTTACTCAAGCCTGCACTTGCAAGGGGTAGCAGGAGTTGGAAAGTCACCTGGGAAATAAATGGTTTTGCCTGCATATCAAACCACAACCTCCAGTCCAAACCCTCCCAAATTTAGGGGAAGTTTGAATCAAAACTTCATGGCTGAACCCTATTTCTATAATGGACTGCATGTAAAAAAAGCCACAACCCCTCACTCCTACATACAATCTTGCTCTAAGAAGCTCAGAACTAGGTTCATGCTTCCTGACTTGGGCTCATCTCTAGCCACTGGCAGCAGAGATCAGGGAGCTGCTAGCAAAACAGGAGACTGAACTGAGGACATCCATAAAGCAAAAGCAACTATAGCTTGAGCTTCAGCAGACTCACACCTACTGTGGAGTGGGCCCAGAAATAATGTTCCACACTGTAACCAGCAGGCTGCACTTGCAGACAGTTGATAAGGCAATGTCTGATACATTGTTACTCACTTCACTGGGATTCCCTGGGCCTTTGGCTCCTTTAGATAACTCTGCTCAGGCACTTACACAAGAGCCTTGTCTGCATTCCACCATCAGCCTTTTTTCTGCACTGTTCATGCAAGAGGAAAACAAATGTTTTCAAAATAAAGGTATTTTTAGAAAACCAAAAATGCCTGTGAGAAGTTCAGTGTCTCTACCACGTATTTGTTTGGGAAAATCTTTTTATATCATCTCCCCAGCCCTAGAGCAGACATTTGTAGACATCAGTAAATAGGAATGTTAAATTCTTACCGGTTGGAAACAGTTGCAGGTCACAGAGGAGTTAGTCTTTGGCAGTTTACTCTAATGATGTCTCTTTATTAATAAATGCAGACAAATGCCACTCACAGGAAAAATAAAAGCCAGCTGGGAAGGAGAAAGGTTAGGCTTCTACCCTAGGTAATTTAAGGTGCACAGAATGTTTTTCTATGCGGGGTTCCTTGGGACAGTGAGGATCTTAATTGTAGCCTGGATTAGATCGTGTGATCAGGGACACTGGGTGCATCTACATGAGATGCTTACTGCGCAGCTGCCTAATGTGCTACTGTGACCGCACAGTAGTGTGCTGGTCACAGTAGCATATTTGCACAGTTTTTGCAGTGTCGTTAGGTGACTGCGCAGTAAGCATCACAAAAAAAAATGCACTGGCACTACTGCGTAGTAACTGTCATTGTATATTTAGTTAGTACAGTCAGTCCTCGACTTACAACGTTTCGAGTTACATGTCGCACTTACAACGTTTATAAATTGACACCCTGTTTCAACCTTCTGATGTCAGTTTTGACTTTACAACACTTGATCTGATGCCAAGCCACGCCAGTGAACAAGTTCGCTGCATCACCCATCTCCCTGGAGAACATCTGTCCAAACTTCCTTGGACATTTTCTTTAAGAAAGCAGACAAGACTCCAGAAAAACCTGCAGCCAAGACTCCTGAGAAGACTCCAGCCAAGAACCCTTCAAAAAGTCCAACCAAGAGCCCTTCAAAACGTCCAGCAAAGTCTCCTCAAAAAATTGCTTCCAAATCAATATTAATGTATTTATATTGTAAATAGCAATCATGTAGCTGTATTACTCATCTATAATTGATCGAGTACAACATTCTGGGTTATTTTTGGTGAAAATAGGGTATCGGGCCTTGGTTCAGGAACCAATCCCTCATTTTTAACATTGTTTACTATGGGAAAATCGGTTCCAAGTTACAACGTTTCAACATAAGACACGGTTTTCAGGAACCAATTGTGTCGCAAGTCTGAGGACTGCCTGCATTTCATTAAGTAAATACTAAACTAAATGCACAGTAACTACTACACATTGATGAACATGTAGATGCACCCACTGAGGATCTAAATTTTGGACTTGGCCACCTACATGGCAGTCATGTGTCTAAATCCCATCTCTGCCTCTCTGGGGACCAGACCTAGGTGCAAATCTGTGGCAATAAGCAGAAAAGGAAGCTTTCACAGCTCTAGCCTGTCCTAACCTCACTTTAAACTAGTACAACCAGACCCTCCCTTTTGATGATGAGGCATTTAACAGAATTTGCAGATTCATTGCAATATGACACGGTTGCACCATAAGTGCTTCTGCTATGGCCTCAAACTTATGACCTCTGAGCTGCCACCATGTGCCTTAGTGGCCACACCACCCTAGCACCCTTCTGTGAAAAGAATTCACTAACTTCCTGAAAACAGCAAAACAGCTGCACTGTTGGAGCTGCACAGCACACGGCATCAAAGATTCCTTTGTGAAAAGTGCTTAGCTCCAAAAGATCTTCTAGTGGGCTATAAACAGATGTCTTATTTGATTGATCCCAGCCAAAATCCTGGGACAAAAGCGAAGCAGCATAGTCCTTTACACACGTAGCCCTTCCAAGCTGTGTTGCTGACAGGCTTGTCCCTGGAAAAAATGACAATTAACTTGAATGAGCCACAATTAGTTTAGTATGTAGCACTGTCCCAGGGAAAAAAAGCATCAGCACATTTTATCTTGTTACTTCACAGGTACTTAAAATGTGACACTGGGTCTGTACTCTGTAGGATCCCAGGACAAAAGGTTTTCTAAAGGTAGAAATGGGACATCTGTTTACACCCACAAAAATCAAATATTTAATGTCCGGATTCCCCGAGTCTGATATGGGCCCAGGTTGCCATCTTCTGGCTATTTTGAAACACTGCACTGTTCTAGTTCATACATTTTCCAGGTGATTAAGGCAAAACCCAAGTTGACTGCCCTTTCTGATGCAAGACTGGGGCTCAAAAGAATCAGCAAAATTAGACTTCTCTCTCTTGAACTGCAGACACTATACCTGACTCTCTTTTTTTTCTCCCAAATTCAGGAACACCAAATAAGCATAAGCTCTTGGATGTGAAACACAGAGCCCACATCTCTCATTAAAAAGCTCCCTGAATTGACAGCCCTTCCTAAGATTCAGCTTCCAGAGCTGAGGGTTTTCATCCCTCAGCTTTGTGTGGTGGAGACCTCCTGGGAATAACTGAACTCCTGGTTTACACAAGACTTACGTGGGCTTTTAGAGCTGGTAGTGTATGGCACTATAGCCCCAATTGCAAATCAGAGTCCCACCCCCACCCCACCCCAGGCCCAATCATATTGACCCACCCACACTAGGACCTTTAACTGAATGAAGTATTGGAATTGCTCAGTATCTGGAGGTCATTGTGGGGGTTGTCACATCCTAATAGCAAAAAATCAGTCACTTTCCTATGACCTTCTCATGCACTCAAGCATTCACTGTGTTTTGGCATCTCTCATGCTGTAGTCAATAAAGCTAGCTGGGGCAGTATGCCATGGGCTTGCACTTGTCGCTCGATAATTGGACTCGCATGGAGTAGCACCCTACTGCGTTTGTAGCTGCTGGCAACTGCTGAAGCAGCAGTAGAGTTGGCAACACGATAAAATATCAGTAATTGAAGAATGGGTGAACTGAGTGCCAAAATCAGCTTTAATGTGCAGCAAAAGAAGTTTTAAAATAAATATTAGGGAAAATTTCCTAGGCACCAAAGAATGCTTCATGAAGTTACCAGGGAAGTTATGAAGTCCCCTTCTATGGAAGGCTTTTAGGAACAGGCTAGACAAACGTGTTAGAGATGGCCTAGGTAGACTTGGTACTGCCTCTGAATAGGGGGTATGAGCTAAATGACTCCAAACAGGGGAGTATCCAAGAGGGAATCAGAGGGCTGCAGTTGCACCCCCTTTCAGCTGAGCAGTACATGCACTGTGAGCTCTCTGAGCTCACCAGATTGTTGGCATGGGCTCCTGCCAGAGCCACTGCTTTTGCACAACCGCCACTTGTCCCTTTTTCCCTGCTGCTAAATTCAGGGGACAGGTCAGGGAAGGGAGTGAACTGCACACCCCCAAAGTGGGTGTGGCCATACATCTCTTGTCCCTCCTGGATCTGCCCACAACTCCTGAGGTCTCTCCCAACCCTACTTTCTACAATCCTCAGCTGACATGAGTTAGCACTGATATCAAGGGAGCTACACTGATTGGCAGCAGCTGAGGAACTGAGCCAACTTCTTTAGGGCCATGTCACACATTAAGTACATTTAACACATACTAAGTGTAAAGCACGAGCAACCACACATTCAAGCAGTAAAACACATGCTAAGTGTGCTCATATCATAGCAAACACATTTTGTATGAGAAATATTTGCAGATCATATTAAATAACATATGTTCAGGTATCATTGGTTGCTTCATGGAGATAGTACAAGCGATTTGCAGTCCTTACCCAGCCAAGACAACAGCCAGGGACCCCTCTGCTGTACCAAGCCTCCAGGTGGGATAAAGAAAGCCACACAGGAGGAAGCAACCTGAATCTTTTGCTTGTCAGATTCCTCCAGGATCAAGTAGAAAGTCGGATGCCCACAGCCCTGGAGGGTCACCAGGGCTGGGACAGATGATTAGTGACCTGTGCATGTTGGAGATTGTAGTAAACATTACCAGGCAACTGCTCAGAACATATTCCAACTGTAATACTGCGCAGATTTATTTCATATTAAGTGTCCCATGCAACAAGGCCCTTAGACTCTTCAGTGTCCCTCTTGGCTTTCCTTCCATGAACGACATAGAGTGTGTCTGTAAAGACTATGGCCTTCTAAGCACAGGTGACATAAATTTTTGGGACAAATGCTTATCAACAGGAGGAACTCCCTCTATTCTGATGGGTACCAGTATTCCCAGACTAGTGCCAATTCCTCCTCCAGACTACTGACTCACCAAGAGAAACACCAAAATGCTCAGAGCCAAACAGGAGGGTGAGGGAGGTGTGACTGCCTGTTCAGAAGCCCTGAAGTAGCCAGCAGGAGGCACTACCATAAAACTAGGTCTTGCCTGAAGCCCTGCCATTGGGTGATATTTTGGCTGGGATGGTTTACAGTGTTAGCAGGAGCTCAGGTCTCTTAGGGTGACCCTTGGAAGAACATGGGCAAGGAATGGGGGGGGGGGGGGGGGGGGAGCGAGGGGGGGGGGGGGGGGGGGGTGACCCAGAGAGACTGGCACTGGTAGTGACCAGGAGTTGCTGCAGTGTAAACCTTGGTCTGGGGTTGAATGCAAAACTTTAAGTTATACAAATGGGCTGCTGGCAATCGCAGGAGGTGCTGGGATGGTAGCAGAAATAAACCCTACTGGGCCCTCTGTTTTTACTCTAAGTTTATTTGACTCTTCTCACCTTAAGTGCTTGGAATATTCTCCCAATACACATGGGGCAGGAAGTCATCATCTGTGGTGGACATTCAGCTGAAAGAGGATCAGTGGCAACACTTTAAGGTCCAGCTTGGCCTATGTGATGATCTCACGCTGCCAGTGACGAGTACACCCAGAAACTACAACAACTCTCCTGAGAGACCCCAGGGTAGCTATTCTCCATTCAACCTCCTCCTACTCCAAACAAAGACACTTCCTGTAGCTCACTTGAATGGGAGGAAGGATTTAAGATCTCTCCACTTGGTGCTTTGTTTTCAAGTTCCAGCCTAGTTCACCCCGACTAGCAAGGCCTGGGAAAGCTCATTTCACTGATACCCATAATAAGTGCCCTCTGCCAGATTCACCTTAAACTCTTAGTCTGGATTGAGTAGCATATATAGTTATTCCTGGCTCTCCCAGACCTGGTCATGAAAGCTACTGGCCATCACTCCAACCATCCTGAAAGAAACTTGCTATTTCCAAAGAAACAAATATTACCTATCTTGTACAAGACTTAGGCTGAAATACACAGAGAAGGGTTTTGAAAGCACTTAATAAAGTGCTTAGTTAGACCTGTCAGCAAGACAAAGCAGCAAATCTAGATATGTCCAGCAAATAAAGTGATTGCTGAGAAACAGGTATGGTACTATTCTCATTTGCAGGAGTCCTCTCTCCAGGACTCAGCTGTTCCACCAGTACATACCAGTGTACCCGGGTCTCTGAAGAGTTATCTAAAACTGCTTAGAAACAGAAGAAGTTGTCCTGTCCCCAACCCGGGGGGGGGTGAAAATGAATGTCTCCCAAAAACCCGCACCTGCTTTGGTGTAACAGGACAGAATAACTCCAAAGGGGCTGGACATGTGAGAAGAGCAGCACACCTTTTTCCTGAAATCACTCTTTC